AAAAAGGCAGGGGAAAAAAAAAAAAGACAAGACGCCAGATCTGGCTGACCCCTCCTTTCCCCCAACACCTGCTATGATTGCTCATCCCCTTGGCCCTGAGTTGCTCTTGCCTAGTCACGGGCCTACGTCCATTAGTGTTGGGTTTTTGGCCTACATAAATTTGGCATTAAAGGATTAATGTTTTTGCTTTAGCATAGGAATGTACACCAATACACTCTGAATTTAATGTTTATTGGTTTTATTTTAGTTAACAGGACCTGCCCTGAATTCCTCCTCGGAATCCGTGATGAATCCTGCTTCCAATCCGGCATCTAACCGATTCCGAACCCACTTTACTAAAAAGCTCTATAGCGCCAATTGAAACTAATAGACGATTCGACTTCTACCAAAATTTCAGCACAGTCTCCTTTATAAATGGAACATTTCTCAATTTACAGTACCTTTAAACAAGCGCCAGAACAAACCCAACTTCAAGGTAAGGGCACGCACAACAGTTAATAAGACTATTCAAATGGGCTTCATGCCCTCTACCGAACTAAAACGAGCAAGTAGAGCAACTAAAGATTAAGTTTACAACCCAAAGAAAAGGAAAGTAGAGAAAGATAAAGAGGAATTCCTACAGTATGAACAGCGGCGATGCCTCAACATGGTGGTCTCGACCTTGGATATCTAGAACCTGGGGGGCAAAAAACAGAAAATGTGAGTGGACGAAAACAAAGCGTTAAACATAATTTGTATTCAACATAAATAACCCCCTGTGTTTAAGAAAATAGTGCCCAAAACACCATGCAATAGATTTCTTCTGTAAACGTATGGAAATATCATCCAATACTAGAAAATATTTTAGTTCAGTAAAATTTCATATCATGACATACAATAAGGATTAAATTAACAAGTTTACATTGTTTATTTAAAATTTGGAGTGTGACAGGAAGGGACGGCCAGGTTACATATGCTAACAACTATATCACACTGGCCGTTAACCCTAAAACTACATCTCTGTATAAAGAACAATTAATGCATTAAAACCAACAACTCATTCACTCAAAAATAACATTAGAAGGCTGGAGGAGGGGAGGGGAGAGATGGAAAGGGTTCTCCTACTCAACTATATCTTCATAATTTAAGAACAATTAAAATGATCAGGTTTTTATTACAGGACCCCAAAACAATTACGTAGTGAATACAAACAAGCTTCTAGAAGTGATGACGACATTACGGAAGTAATATACTATTATTTCATTTCTAAATAAAAAATAAAAAATATATTTCATTTACCATCAAGAATTTATATCCACCGTTTCACTTTCTTGTCAAATATTCCTCCTCCATATGTAGAAATGAAAATCTCAACAAGAAGGGAAAATTGCATCCCAATAAATAAGGTGACTGGAATGCTGGCGAGGAAAATGATTGGGAGAACAATCTGTAATCTTTTATGAAGCATAAGGAAAAGGCCAGAACAAAAGGCAACCATCATGGTAGCGATGGAGATCAAGAGTGTTGAAAGGCCTATTATCATCTTTGTGGGTAAGGATTTGAGGAAATCATCTTCCGCATAACGTGATGTAAGGATTCCCAAAAACATTAGCACTGAAGTTATGGAAGAAAAGAGAGATATAGCATCTGAAACTATAAAAACGATAAACATCTTTTTATGTACGAATTCGGGAAAGCCGTCTCCATTGTTTCCACCAGGAACTGTGAAGGCTGCAGCAAACATGATGGTAATAGTGAGAGCACCTACAACTGTACAAGAAGTTGCTGTATCTTTCATCCACTTTTCTCCTTCTTCCTTCAATGTCTTGTGGTTCTGGGTAAATAGTTCATGGGGCCCCTTACCCTCTTTATTGAAAGCTCCCACTCCCGAGGGTAAAACTACAATACTCTTAACCTCCTGCATTTCATTAAACAGAACCTAAAGTTCGTTGTGGCTACCAGGTAATTAATTATAAAATCACTTCTTTTATGGAATGCAACATAATACAAGAAAGAAATACAAGAAGCATTGCTGACCACAATGTAATAAAAATTGTTTGATGCCAAACTGCATATGGTACCAAACTGAAATGAATCCTAAAAATATTTGAAACCTTAAATAGGTCCTTCCTTGTTCACTACTTTCCGAAATTGATAGAAGGAGGTGGCTTTGCAATGAGTAGTGTTTGGATTATGGGGAACTTGGAAGTGCAAAATTTTAATTCTCTTTTCTTTTAAGATTTGATGGCGAATCCTTGATTTGTAGCTTTCTCTTACGCCAATACTCCGAGTTAAAGAGGCTAAAGGTTCTACCCTAACTTTGGTGAATCCGTAGCCTGTGGTATAGAGTAGTGGAGGTTGTGGAAACCGACGGCGCGATTAAAATCGATTTTGGTGGTGCATGGTTTGCAAGTTCTTCTTGTGGTGGGTATGGTTGCGTTGTGCGGCAGAGTGTGGGCTTGTTTAAGGCTGCTTGTGGGTTTGGTTGTTTTGTTTGTAGCTCAAGCGTGGGGGCTAAGGCAGAAGCTACCCGAGATGGACTACAGATTTATGTGCAGGAGATGCTTATTAAAACTGATTCAAAGGTCATGGTTGACATAATTATTGAACGAGAAAAATTTATCTCCTCAAATATAACCACCATCTGATATGGGCATTTCTATTTCTAAAAGCAATACAGTTTTTTTTTTTTTTTTTCAAATAATTCTAAAAGAGATTTTTAAAAAAAAAAAATTATTTGGCACCAAGTATAGAAAACAAGAGTGAAGGAAGAAGAAGATTTTGTTAGTGTATAAGCTATGAGCTAATTAAAGCTTAGCTTAAGCAATGCCTTGTAATCATGTGTGTATCCACTTTGGTAATTAAACCAAGTGTAGGGCCTTTATTGTAACTTGTCCAAGTGACATGTGGAGAGTGATCCATTATTTTAGTGAGATGAGAGGCTGAGATTGTTTTCACGTTGGAAGCATTGAGCATACATTCTCACTGTTATGCACAGTGAGAGAGTTTTGTAAGAAATACACATACATTCTCTGCTACTTGCAGAGCACAGTGAAATATAGAAGAAACCATTTTCTGAAATTGCTGAGTTACTACTTTTCTTTTCCTTTCTTCTTCAATAAGATAATACACTGAGAATATAAAACTTCAACAGATTTCAAAGATAAGCAAAAAATCTTGCTCATATCTACATGTCTGGGGGAAACTTTAGAGCTTTTGAAGTTACTACTCTATTTGTATATGTTTCTTCCACAACATACCGACCCATAATCACATTTATAAGCTGCCGCCCCAAGCACCTAACATCCCACAACTAGCTCTAAATACAATTAATTTACAAGAAAGATATAGAATGAAGATATCTAACCTTGAACCATTGTCTTTCTCTCTGCATTTGCAAGGCTACACCTGAAATACGATCAAGTTTTTCCGTTGGAGATAGCATCCCTGCAAGATGTAGCATATCATTTCCAAAAGCATCTGAAAATGTTGCAATAAGATTTCTTTGACGAACCCCATATATAAGGCTATAAACTTTTTCCTGGCGACACTCAATTGAATAGTGAAATATGTTCCTTCCCATTGAATTGTTTTGCCACAATACATCCGGATCTACTTTACATAAACGAATAACGAACTCAATAATCCCTCTTCGGACAGCTTGGAATACTGCTTCATAGACAAGGCCATCTTCCCTTTCTTGGATATCTACATCTTTCACGTATGTGGTTGATCCCTAGGTTGATGTTGAAGAAAATGTTACAACCACTTTTTATAGAAATAAAATTAGTTGACAGTTTAAAAAGTGGATTAAAAAAAAATCAATGTGCAAAGACACCAACATATAAAGATGGAAATGAATGTTGCATACCTAAAAGGTTGTGGAGGGTAGAAGAAAGCCCCTGCAATAAACCTAAGAGTGCAATGCAGATTAAAAATCACAATATATTGGCACAAAGTTTTAATTCGTCAATTAGCATACTAGAACAATTTGATTATCTAATAATATATCATATTTTTCTCAACAAAAAATAAAAGTTCTTGTTTATGAGCATACTAGAACAATTTTCTTTCACCAGATTTCTTTTTGCGCCAAACTATGTCATGATCAACTTCTTATTAAAAAAAATGACAATAATATATATAGAAAATGATTGCATTTTATTAAACCAAAGCTGGGGTTTCGAGATCTAGCAAACCTGAGAAACTGATTATTCTTTGGTTACCCAGTTCATTTTCTGGATTTGAACATTTACACTAACATCAGGGATAGCAGGAGGCTGTATGTGTATACCTATCAAGAAAAGAGGACAAGTTTAGTCAATTAATTTTATTTTTTTGAGTAAAACTGAAACTTTCATTAATTCAAAGAGAAGAAAACATATCATGTGATAGAAGAGGAATCACTCTCGGTGCCTCCTCAACCAAAGAGATGAAATTTGTACAGTTTAGTGCATACTTTTCAATGGAATGAGCTACTTGGTGATAAGAACTGTAGAGTTTGAATATTTAGATGATGTATTTTTCTCTTTAAGGAGGAATATATAAGGATTTACATGTGTGCTTTATAAGGAAATAAATACAATAAATAAAAAGGAATATATGCTAATAATACAAGGATATGTCAACTAAACTAAATAGGAAATAAATCACCTACTTAACTCATGTCAACAACCCTCAAGTTGGTGCATACACAATGCCAATATGCCCAACTTTGTAATTGAGTTATGAAATACTCATTCAGAAACAGCTTTTGTCAAGACATCCGCTAACTACTCTTTTGATTTTACAAAAGGCATGCAAATACTCTTGTTCTTAATCTTCTCTTTGATGAAGAAGCTATCGGCCTCAACATGTTTTGTCCAATCATGTTGAACTGGATTATGAGCAATATCAATTGCCAAGTTATTGTCACAAGTAACTAGACATCATAAGCTTTATATACATACAAAAATCTTCAAAAATGAACAAGTGTGCAATTTTCGGTGATTAAGTTGGTTCTTTGACGCTCATTCCATACTTTCAGTTTCAAATATCAGTTTTCTGATTGGTAGAAGACCTAGGGTTTGAATCTTGGTGAATCAAGACAATAGTCTTCATCTATAAAAAAAAAATAGACAATAAGTCATTTTCGGCTATGGAGATAGAGATTGGGAAACTACAAAACCTACTGACCTAGGTGACATGGGGATGAAGAATATGATTAGTGTGAATATAGCTGTTTATGAACATATATATATGCTTCCAAAATTGTGGCTTATATGTTAATGCTACTCTAACCACAATTCTACACCATGTTGACCATCCTAATAATTTTTGACACTAGAGTTGTTGATGTGTCATGTCTTAAAACGGACATATTAATAGAATGGTCTAGATGTTGCAAAATGCGCGTAAATGCACAATCTCTAAATGTAGCAGCTCATAATCCATCATATAACAGGCTATGGGTAAATGTTTATGGCTGAAAATTTCTAAAAGAGAACGTATTACTAACAGTCATAGATCCACCGTTGCCAGAATTTGAGCGGCGTCCCACTCGAGAATACAGAAGGGATATCTGCCAATACAAATATAGGGGATTCGCCCGTCGGGCTTTTAGCAATGGCCAATCGTGGGTAGCGCTGAAGTAAGTCCCAGGCAATATCTATTATTAGAAAAACAAAACAAAAAACAGGAATTGTGAAAGTTAAAGCTTGAATTTTGACAAATAAAAAAAATTAAAATTTGAATAATAAATAAATAATGTGGGTTTTGGTTGGTTGAGAATTTTACCAAATTGTTTGGCATAGAAACAAAAGCAAACAAGTCCAGCGCCATAAGGGCCATTCTCTGGCATTAGGTCTTCGATAGTGAGGGGATAGAGATAATGAACGATATCCCATAAGTCATTCTTAGCAGCGAAGAGAATTGGCGTCAGACCGTGGGAATTTTCGACCATACCAAGTGGTTTCCTGTTCTTTCCAACCATGCATTTAACCATTTTGAGACTTAATCTTGCAGCAAGATGAAGAGCTGTCCAACCAAAATGTTCTATTTCCAAGTCTTCAGCTGTCATCAACTCCACCAACTCTTCCACCATATGCTCATGTCCCAACTTGGTTGCAATGTGAAGAGCTGTCTCTCCTGTTGAATATCTTGCTCTTATTGCATTGGGATTTTGGCTAAGAAGCTCATTCGTTTTTTCCCAATTACCGATCTTAACTAGGCGTGGGCACGGTCCGGTTTGGACCGATTTTTGTTAAAATATAGAACCTGAACCGAAAATGCAAACCAATTCGGTTTGGACCGGTTTTGCTTAAAATCCCTACCAAAATCCAAACCAACCCGGACCTGCCGGTTTCCGGTTCGGTTTCCGGTTCTCACGGTTTGGGCTTGCTGTAAAGCCCAGTTTGATTTTTTGTGTATTTAAGCTTCAAGACCATCTGATTTTAAAAATTTTGGGCCTTAAACATCACAATTGGCCCAATTCCCATATTGAAACAACCACTATTCTTTGACAAAAATAATAAAACAATCCAATATTAAATTTAAAATTACAACCGACAAGAAAATACACATAATAAAACAAATTAAATTACAGTTAAATTTAAAATTATAACTCCATTCTTCTGTTCTTTTGTTGCCGCATCTCTGAACACCGAGTACACCAAGTGAACCTAGCAGATCCATGTATTGCCATCAATAACCTGAATTTGTAGAAAATAAAAACAAATCTTTTTGGTAAAAGTGAGAGCTTTAATGCAAATCTTTTCAGCCTGATATACTTTAATCATCATATAAGAACATTTTAAATGTGACTACAATTATTAAAGGAGAGATAATAATATGATTTATTATCTCTCCTTTAAAAATATTTCTCAAGCAACAGATAGAAATGGTGTACATATGCACTACATTTATCATACTACTATATTTATACGGCCATTCAAATCAAGAATTTTCTTGTAGAGAAGAGAAAAAAGGGTAAAAGTTAAGTATTTTAAGGAACTAAGTTGATTTACAAAGACCCTGTAGAGTTTCTTCAATTGAAAGCCTTGGTTTTTATGCTGAAAGATCTGTACTTAGTTTTTCTTACGAAGGTTTTACTATTTATTTAGATTGTCATCCTCAAATGACCAACTTTATTTGAATTCTTAACCCAACAAAATGTACACACACCCCAGACCTATCTTTTAAAGCCTTATGAATTTACAAATAACACTCGGACATCTAAAAGATTTTGACCTTCTTCAAATATCTTGCAAACGCAATCATTACAAACAAGATTGACTGTATATTGCCAAATTTCCATGATCTGGTACATCATTTTTTCCAGGCAATCCAACTGCATGACTCAAATTCAGAAATTCACTATGAAGCAATAACAGGAGCATGTGATGGTTTTTCCAGAACAAGACATGACATATTCAATGAATAAAAATCAAAATAAACAGAAAATCAAAAAATCAAAAAACAACATAACACAGAAAATCAAAATACTGTTTGACTCCACCAACAAAAACAGAAAAACAGAAAATCAAAAAATCCAAAATCCAAAATAAATCTGCAAAGGAGAAGACATAAATCTGCAAACAACAATCGGTAGCTCATCCAGCATTGATTTTTCGCAAGGAATGAGCGGGTAAACAGATGCACACACAATCAAAACCTAAATACCCAAACAGATGCAAAACCCTAATAACAGAATCGAAGATGAGCTAAGAGAGAGAGAGAGGGAGATGAAGAGTACCGGAGAGAGAGACAGAGACAGAGAGCTATGCGAGACGAAGAGGTGGACGCTGCGAGCGAATGGGATCTCCGATTTGCTGGAGGACAGAGAGAGTCAGAAAATCGAATTGGGGAAGAAAAAAAAAAGATAGAGAGAGAGAGAGAGAGAGAGAGAGAGAATCTGACCTGCGTGAAGACGACGACTGAGAGAGGCTGAGAGAAGAGCGGCGGTAGAGAGAGGCGTGACGTGATGGCTGAGAGAGAGGTTTGGAATCGGTGGCGGCTGGTTGAGTGTGAAACGAAAGGGGAGGAAGAAACGTAATGGGATGGGAGGGGAGGAAAAAACGAAGAAATAAAAAACCCTAAGTCACTTAAGGCTTTTTTATTTGTGTAATCCTGTGTGTGCGCTACTTATGGTAGTAGCATACACATCATACATAATTTCTAATATAAATATATATATAATATATTAAAAATATATATTAATTAACTATATTGGACCGGTTCGGATTGGACCGGTTCTTTAGGGTGAAATATAAATATATATATATAATATATTAAAAATATATATTAATTAACTCTATTGGACCGGTTCGGATTGGACTGGTTCTTTAGGGTGAAAAACCGAAACCGAAACCGGTCTGAACCGGTTTGGTTTGGATTTATTTCGGTTTTTGACTTTTTTGGTCAACACGGTTTTTTTTGGTTTTTTCGGGATTGGTTTGGTTCGATTTTGCGGTTTTGCGGTTCCAATGCCCACCCCTAATCTTAACAGCAGCAAAGAAAGGACGGAGCACATTGTTCTCATCTGTCAAGTATATTATATACATGTTTGGACATTAATTATTCGCATCTATTATATATCAAAATAACTCTAAACTAATATATGTTTGGCTGAATAAAAATAATTTGGAAATTAGAGGTTTATATGTATTCATATCAAGTCTTTGCAAGGACGGAGCACATTAACATTTGAGTATTCTTTGTTCTTTTTTTTTAACGGTATACCTGGGGTGTTTGATGAGTTTGCGGACTGAACAGATCTCCATCGTTGGTGCTCGAACGTTTGGGCCAAAGTATCCCAAGCAATATTGGCTGAACTGATCTCCTTAATCACGGAAAGCCCTGTTAAAAACTGAAATTAACTTAAACGTAAAGGATGCTTGAACAGAGTATTTCGCAGTGTTGAAGATACTGCAGTTTTCCTCTCTTATATATATGAAAAACAAAGCTTACAAAAAATAACAATCTCCACAATAACCACTAACACAACAACAACAGATTTTGTGGAGTTCAACTACCTTAAGCAACGGAAGCAAATTTGAACGTGGTAAACAGACTAAACCACAACTTCTATATTCTAGGACTCCAGCTTGACTTGGTCTCTTCATGGCCATGTCAGCTTTATTTAATTAAAACTAATTAAACTTAACAACTTTTAACACCCTCCCTTAAACTGATTTTTACGAAAAACAGTTTAAGAAAAACAATTCAGGATTTCTCCACCATCACATAATCATCTTCCTGTTCAATGCTTCGAAGTGAACAAACTCCCAACATGCTTCTCAGCTTCTCAAATGCAGGCTGCTTCAAAGGCTTAGTTAAGATGTCTGCAACCTGCTCCCCACTCTTGCAATATTCAAGTACAATCTTCCCATCACTGCACAGATCACGCAGAAAATGAAAACGGACATCAATGTGTTTACTCCTCCCGTGCATGACTGGATTCCTTGATAGCTTGATAGTTGACATGTTGTCGCAGTAGATGGTCATTGGTCCCTTTTGAACA